AAAAAAAAAAAAAAAATCCTTTCTGGGAGAGTAACTTGAAATGTAGACTTCATTTAATTACAACAATAAAAAGAACTGTAAAAAAAAAAAAAATTCTATGATGATCTTTGTGTCTATGTCTGATTGTGTGTCTGATTGTGTGTGTGTGTGCAACTGAGGACACAGTCCCAGGTCACTGGCCACGACCCCTCCAGTGTGGGGAGTATTCACATTTGCTCCACACAGGTTGTTGCCCGAGGCTTTGGCAGTGAGAGAGTATAATTAGAACAGCGTCTTTGTCAAAGCAGAGGTGCCCACCTAAGTCCTTTCTTGTGCATTCATTCTCCGACTGTAGGGGCTAAAATCGCACTGGGGCAGTGTGGGACCCAAAAAGGGCAGAATACAGCTCTGTGGCCCAGGGAGTGTGTTCCTGAGGCCTCCGTGAGAAAAGGCAAGCCACAAATAAGAACCAGCTATTCTCGGCACGAGATTATCAGCGGCAAAGATCGCACCGAGCAGTCTGAGAGCCAAATCCCGGTCAACAACAGGGCAGGATAAACACCGGAGCAGGGGCCACTTCATGGGCCCACTTGCAACATGCTCGCAGACCTTGGCACCAGGTAGCCTCGACCCATCCTGGCCGTGGTGCTTCTGTGAGACGGTGCCCAGGGTGGGAGGTACGGGAGTGGGTAGGGATGGTGGAGTACCTTGCATGAGCATCTCCATGGCCGTGCGCGGCTTGGACAGCCGCCTCTCTTCCAACTCGCTGTCAGATTCGTCATCCTCCTGGATATCGACGTCTGAGTCGTCATTACCTGGCGAAAACACAAGGAAGACAAAAGAGCGTCTTCCGTCACTACAATTAAAAGCGCCTCCATCCAGTAAGGCTCTCGTTCAGCAGCCATGAACAAGCCTTTCTGGTGATGCGTTAGACTTCAGGAGACTCTGGATGTGTCAGCAGCTGCCTGGTGAAGAGTTAATGCAGACCATGACGTGCTGGTTTGCTTCAAAACCATTTCTCAAGGCAAGAAAAAAGGGCGTCAGATGTATCAGCTAGAGACACTATCCTGTACGTGAAACCAAAACACTGACAAGTCAGTTGTCCAGGTAGGACGGTTCTACTCTGTCCTACAGGGTCGCTGTGAGTCGGCTGTCAAGGTAGGTCGGTTCTACTCTGTCCTACGGCACCACTGTGAGTCGGCTGTCAAGGTAGGACGGTTCTACTCTGTCCTACGGGGCCGCTGTGAGTCGGCTGTCAAGGTAGGACGGTTCTACTCTGTCCTACGGGGCCGCTGTGAGTCGGCTGTCAAGGTAGGACGGTTCTACTCTGTCCTACGGGGTCGCTGTGAGTCGGCTGTCAAGGTAGGACGGTTCTACTCTGTCCTACGGGGTCGCTGTGAGTCAGGGTCAACTCGACGGCAACGGGGCTATAGACACACACACACGCACACACACGTAGACGTGTATATCTGTGTATATATCTCAGTTTCTCAAGGCTGAAAATGCCATTCCGGAGTAAACACTGTCTGTCTCAAGTGTAGCCTTACTTCCACTCTTGAGCAGTCGCTTTTCTTCTTCCTTCAGCTTGTTCTGCATCAGACGGAGAGTATTCTCAGCTTCCTGTGGAACAGGACAAAGAACACTGAGCAGAGATGGCCTTCTTTGGGACTGTTTTATTATCCTCTGCCGTGTGTGAAGGTACCGCTAAGTCGGTGATGTAGAGAAGGCAGAAGACTAGCATCACCTGAGCTACCACCCCACTCCCGAAACCTGACACCCTCCCTCTCTGTGACCACCCCGCAGCCCCAAGGAAAGGGAGGCTCCCAGAAGTGGTGCAACTGGCCCTCAACAAGCCCGGCTGCCCTCCAAGCCCATGCTCCCGCCATGATCCTTCAGTGCCCTTGAAGAAAATGAATGTCACAACTGATGCCCATCAGCGTGCCTGTGTGGGCTGGTGGCACGAACAGACACATCCAACCATAGACAGGCACAGACCTCTCCCTCTTCAAAGAATAAAGCATGGATTTTGTTTTTCAGTCCTGCACTGCCTTCTGAATTCCACCCTGAATGGGGTGCTGGTCAGGATGGGAAGAGGAAGAAGTAAATAGTCTCAATTCCCAGCACAGAAAAATTTTTCAAAAGGTAATGTTTTCGTTAGGTTACAAAAGGGGGCCTTGAGTATTACCCAAAGAGAGACGGGAGAGGAAACTGGCTTTAGAACGTTGTCGCTCTGAACATGAAGGAAGCACTGTGTTCGCGCACGGATATTCTGAGGGGCCAGGTATTGTAAGCATGGAGAGCAGGAGCGAGGCCAGGAGGAAACGAGGATAAGTGCTTGTTGAAGGAAGGGTGGGAGGAAGGCAGGGGAAGCCTCAGAGGTAACATGGGCCATCTACTTGCCACCCCAAGGCACATTCTGTGTATGTTCTCTGAACCCAGGGGAGGCCCTTGACAAAATAATAAAACGGTCACAGATGGTTTTCACTGACCCTTTGCCTTTCTGTTCCAAGTATCCAATGTTCAAAATGTCCTGAACTCCAGACTCTTCTCACTGCCCTCAAAACACAGACATCCTATATCCCAGTCCTTCAGGGCCTGCCTCTCTGCCATGGAGCAATGGTGCCAATGGGCTACTCATCAAGATGGACACGGCCATAGTCCCAGTTAGCCCTCCTGGGCAGCAAATACCTTCGCCTGAACCCAATGCCCCCGTTTGTAAGAAGGCTGGCATATCTTTATACCAAATGCTGCCAAGAATAGTGTGAGAAAGGGAGACTGGAAACCAAGTCCACCAGGAACAGAGGTGCTCAATGGTCACTCTCATTTTTAACAAAAATATCCCTAAGGGAAAAGGGTAATTCAAAAGGTGATAGCAAATTGGCCCAATTTCCTTAGCTCTCCACTCCATAGGTATCAGCTCATGCTGGGATGTGCAATGCTCTTTCCTGGGTGGCCGTGCCCACGGCGATGAGGGGGACCTGCAGACAACTGGCTGGGTTCTGCATCACACATAGTTCCCACGGTAAACCAGTAAACGACCACTCTGCTTCACAGAGCAGTCTCTGGGGAGCAAGTCTGGGTGAGTAATCTACAGGGCTTGAAAATCTTCAAGTGTTCTGACAAGTACATTTTCAGGTCTATACTCAGACTGGCTTTATAATTTGTGGGGTTCAGTCAAAAATAAAATGTAGGTCCCCTTGTTAAAAAATGATTAGGTAATGGCCAACAATTACACTAAGGCAGAGATGAGAAGGCCGGGGGCAGTGGACTAGAGTACCGGGAACAGAGCAACCGGAAGTAACGAGAAGGCTGGCACAACGTGGAGAATGTAACCTACGTCACTGAATGTTACGTGTAGGAACTGTTGCATGGGAAACCGTTTTGCTGTGTACATTTAACAAAAAACATAATATTATTTTTTAAAACTGATTTAAGTATTTCGTTACAATTAAAAATAAAAAAACAAATGATGAAGTATTCCAAGACAGCAGCAGCAGAGCACTAACCCAGGCGTGGCCCCTCTGCATGGGGAGCCCCGTGTGCCTTCTCAGGCGAGTGTCCTAAGTGACCACACCCTGATGATAAGATCAAGTCAGAGATCTGCAAGCCCTGGGGGTCCAGGCTACGCTGCCAGCAAAAGGAAAGAATTACGTGAGCAATCCTCAGACTGACCTGGGAGAACACACATCCACTGATTTCTTTTCACAAGAGTATTTACAAACTGACATGTCAACAGGCACAAAATACCACACCACAAGGCATGGTCAGTCTGGAAGAACCGGACAAGCATTTACCTCAAACCTCTCCTGCTCCATCCTATGATGATCCTCGAGCTGTTGTTCCAGGTAAGTCAGATTACGAAATTTCTCGAGATAAATGTCATACTGCTTCTGCAATTCTTCCTCAATCTTCTCATATTCATCCATAAAGGCTGGCCTAGGAAGACGAAATGAAATAAAAAGTGGAAGATTAATCAAGACACTGCAGCTTGAAATTGGTATTCAGAGTTCCAGACCCTGCCAAGGTTTTCCTGGGAAACCCCTCTTCCTGGAGAAGGTCCCCCACTCTCTAACTGCTTAAAGCCAATTTCCCTTTTCTCTTCCCTCTCTCAAAATGCAAATATATCTTTTTTTATCATAAAGTAAGATGTGTTCTTTGTAAAAACTTGAAATAATCATAAAAGTGTGAAGTAAAAACTACTCATAATCCATCACCAGGTAAGAGCACTTAACATCTGGAGTACATCCTTCCAGACTTTCCTAGGCATAGGTACATATAGGAATGCATTGTTTACAAACAGTAAGTATTACCATAAATGAGGTTTTGTAGTCTTTAATTCTCACTCAGTATACCACAGAATTCAACAAAGAGTTAAAAAATCATTGTACGCTACAACCATCTCTCCAAATCAATCAATCGATGCACTGCCATCTTTGTTGGGCATAATGTTCTACTCTCTGGATGTTCCAAAATTTAACCAGTCCCCTAAAAAGGGAAACATAGGTTGCTACAAATTAAACCTAAGTTTCAAAACAAAATATACATATATATATATATTCTAAAAACCTGTTTTAACTGATCTGCTGAACTTTGTTACTTTTTCTCTTACTATTAATCCTAAAGGCAGAACTCTGCTCTTTTAAAAATATAAATAGACGAACTAAGAAAATAATCTTTAGACTGAAGCAAAATGGATGTTTTACTATTAAAAGACCTGGGGTTCAACAAGACTGAATTTGTGCTTTGAAGGCAGAGTTATTTTCATGACGTAACGTATTTGCTGGCACTGATGTCAGAGGAGGAAGGAGTGCGCCAGCAGCCCCTTGTCGGGGGAACCGCGCTGCTTCTGCAGGCCCTCTGCCTTCCCCAGTTACTGCCTGGCCCCAGATCTCGGGACAGCAGCCAGAGTGCTGCCCAGCCACCAAAACCTCCAAAATGCAGAGCACTTCCGTGACAGAGGCAGGAGCTGGGAGGAGGAGGGAATAAAGACAGAAACAAAAATAATGGGGGAAAAGTCAGTAGTGACAGGGAAAGAATAAGAAAGAAACAGCGAGGGACGGGAGGTATGACAAGCAAAGACAAGAGAAAGGAAAAAGCCCCAAGAAAACGTGAGGAAGGCCCCAGTGACCAAGAAGGTGTTTTACCACATCATCATCCATCAATGAAAAAACAAACCAACAAGCCGCTGCCGTCCCCTTGACTCTGACTCATAGCGACCCTATAGGACAGAGTAGAACTGCCCCATGAGGTTTCCAAGGCTGTAATCTTTAGGGAAGCAGACTGCCACATCTTTCTTCCTTGGAGTGGCTGGTACCAACCATTCAGTTACCAGCCGAGCACTTAACCACTGTGCCTCCGGGGCTCCTTTTACCCATCCATATTCCCTGGAAAAGGTATAATCAATGAGGTGAAGTCAGAAGAAAGATGAATTACTGGTGGGGAATTATAAAAATCTAAATTCTACTCAAACCAGGATATGGGAGTATGTTTCTGTTTCCACCTAATTCATGGTGAGGTATGAATGCTAGGAGACCAAGCCTTGTGTAAAGTTTACCATCTGGACTGACTTACTTTGCCCTGCGTTCCCAGACACTATGAAAGCTCCAACTGTGGCTCAAGAATGAAGCGGTATCCCAGATGTATGGAAAACAGTAAAGAGAATGAGCCTAGCAGTCTGCTGGTTAGGGTGGGCAAACCTCAAACACTCTCCAGCCACGAGAGCCTTATGCAATGCGGTTTCCACTGCTCAAAGGGTTAGCATCGCTGCCATCCTAGTCTCTCTGCTCGCGCTTCACAGGGATGTTCATATGTACCTGACACTCTGCAGAGTCTGAAGTCGCTTTCGATTTCTGTCAAGTTCTAGTTTTCTCTTTTCAATTTTGGCTTCTAGATTCGCTTCATCAGAGGCCACGTTATTGAGCAGGTCTTTGGTCTTCTGTACCTGGGCCTACATTCAATAGGAAATGAATGAGACAACATGCCAATAAAACCACCATTCCGATTCTCTGAGAGAGGAACTTCTCAGCTCCTCACATGTAGCAGCATCACACTAAACAAAAACAAAAGCAAACACCCCCCACAAGCAATCACGCATTTGACAGACTACTTCTGGGGGGAACATGGCATAGGCCCAGGAAACACTGTTACTCTCCTCTTCTCATGCCAGGGAAGCAAATGGTGATGGAAAGGCCAGTGTCCTAACCAAGGTGGTGAGAGGCTTCGATTGTCCGTTTGGCCTGCGCAAACTGGTGGCTGTGTCCTTCTGACAGATCCCTTCCTTTCTCTGAGCACTTCCTTGCTTTCCGGCACAGCAAAATGTACCAGGTCATCTAACTCACAAAAAAAAAAAAAAAAA